CTGTTTGAAATTTGTAACTGCATCACTTTTAGTAAAGACCAGTAACAACAATAGCGCAAACCAGACTTGAGTGATACCCATATATGAGCTATGACCTTAGTGAAAGGAAATTGTCCATTTACCTGGTTTGCAACATAGGCTATTGAGGCAGACATTACAGACAACATCCCATGAATACAGGTATTATTACGATAACACAATTTTCGGACCTTTCTTTCATTTTCATTCTCTGCTTTAACCTTGTATACTTTAGCTTTCACACATGGTGCCACGCGGCACTTCCCCTTTTGTTCAAACTCCTCTTTCTCGTGCCGCATTGCCTTCTTCTTATTTTAGATACAAACTCTCTCACACAGTGGAGCCGGTCATGTGGGCTAGGCCCCATGATATCATCAGCCACTGACTTTATCAACTGTACAGTACATAAGTACAAACACTCTGTATTAGTATATATACCCCAATAGATCCAGGAGACTCCTTAGTGAGTCCTCCTGTTGTATACCAGCAAACTCTCTGCAGCTTAAGGGGTAACCACTCCCCATTCACTACCTTTACAGTGTGTTCTTGTGTGCGCCAGAGTAACTAACTCTTGGTTGTTACAGGTATTGCCTGATCTGGTTGCTTTTGGCTCTTTTTCTACAGAGCTAGGCGATGTGAAGGTGTGATTGTAAGCCTATGGTCATCATAATGCTAGTTCTTCATAAATGAGAAAGGCAAGTAACTTACAGATACTAGCAATGAGCTCTGGAATGCTCCAATCTAGGGATTGTCACTACCGTACTTGCAGTCCTTGTAGATGAAATCAGCCACTGATCACTGGTGATGATCAATTTTCCATCTGTAAAACTCATTTTCAGGCTATGCAAACCTATGAATAATGTGAATGAGCAATAGCCTGATAAACCTACTGTTGGTTAGACCAGGCCAAGCCAGCTAGGCATAACAAAGCCCCAGTATACTTGTGATTGAACCCTCAATCAGATTTGACATTGCGTGATAAAGGAGGATGAATGGTTTGTCCTTGAGGTGTTGTCCAGTCAAGGATAGTACCTTTGAGGCTTTTGGTATTGTCTGACCTAGCACTAGATGTACCCCACTGGATCTTCCACATTTCAGGTTAATAGTTTGCATAGAAAATAAAGCAATAAACTTACCAACTCTGCTATTATCCCAATGTCTTCTTCCAAGCTTGCCCTGATGTATTCTTCCAGACCTGGTATTATATCTAGAAGCATTTTGAAAATATGTTGCTCTCTTACTTTGCTAAAATAAAACATTCCTTTATGAACTTAAAACAGGCATACATAGCAGTAGCTATTCAAGTCTAAAATCTAAGACTTGAGTGAGTGAAGCAGGAACCGGCACTTTGTTGTCAAAATTTCCTGAGCATGCTTACTCATCATAAATTCTGAGCGAGTTGGTTGAGTTGCTGCTCATCAATCATCCACCAAGTGCCATCAACTGATCAAGGTATAAACAGTGATCAAGTCAATCTCTAGATCTGGTTTCATGAGCAATTTCTTGACAGTTCTTGCAAGTATTCAATTGAGCACAAAATTCTGCAAACAATGCATCTCTACAAGCCAGTGGCACCACGGCTTATATCAAGGATGAGTCAATTTTCTTAGAGTTAAAGCTTCAGGTTTGCTTACAATATTTTATCAGTATCTGAGATGTTTGGTTCCCACTACTAGAACAGAATTCTATTCAGCCAATTGCTGTTAATGGTACATTATTTTACATTTTACCTCTGAGGCAAGTTACCCGTCAATAGAAATTGTCACATTTTCAGGGTCAAAGTCTATTTGCTCTGGGCAAAGTAAAAGATTATGAGTGGGGTTTTTTGGATGCTTTCACCAGGTATATAATTTATATCTGATGTTCGACCAAGCGTGTCAGGCTTTAAATCTACCACATCTTTCTATGGCCCCTCCTTTGGATGACCCGCCAGACAAATTCCACAACAATGAGGTCCAAGCTTCCATTTCAGCTGCACTACGTCCTAAGGATATTGGGGCATCCTTGCAAACAGAGAATTTTCTATGGGGGTGAGGCCTCCAACCCTTGGCCCCTTTTGTGAGTTTCAAGTTCCTTTTGTACAAAAATCACTGATCCATCGCATTTGTTTTATCCGCAGATCTAGGGGTCATCTATAACAAAGGGGACGGTGGTCCCAAATGCCGCATGTGAGCCATGTTGTGTTGGTTATTTCGCTTAGTTTTGCTCGCGTGGTTTTTGTGGCAACACAGGAGCAGCAGTACAGTAGTAGTGAATGCAGTGAAAATTGCAGCCACATTGAAATTCTCACGTTTATAAGGACGGACAGCATAAGTTCACTGACTTCTGACTAAATAAGATTTGATCACTTTACTGTATTATTATTACTCTAAAGATAGTATGGAGTACTTCTTTGACCATGCCAGGCCACATATAGTTTCTGGAGATCAACTCCATTGTTCATTGCCACCCAGGGTGCCCAGCCACTGGAGTGTCATGATGTCTATCTATTGCCTTGATCTTGCGGACTCAGGCACGTAGATTTTGTCTTTAAAATGGAAGAGCCCGACTTCCCATAAATAATTTTCATTGCCATCAAGTTGCACTTTCTCTTCTGAGGAGATGTCTTTCTTGAAGACTTCCAGAAGATCAGAATCATGCCCAATTATAATATTGGCAACCCTTGATTGATCTATCAAGGTAACACCTTCGTTGTCATCTTTGATGCCGTTGGCATAATCCTCTCTTCTGGACAAAGCGTCCGCTTTCCCCATAGAGCTTCCAGGCTTATGAATTAATTTATAATCAAACCTTGACAAGTATACCACGTAGCGGGCCTGTCTTCGGTTCAAGTCTCAGGCCGTCATAAAATACTCCAGATTTTTATGATCGGTCCAAATTTCAAATTGGTGTCTAGCACCTTCTAAGTAGTGCCGCCAGTGCTTTAGAGCTCTAATGATGGCCAGCATCTCTTTGTTGTAAATTTGATAGTTGCGCTCTGTAGGCGACAGACTATGTGATAAATAGGCATAAGGCCTCCAAAGATCGTCAGGGCATTTAATTGACAAAACAGCCCCAGTAGCAAAATCAGAAGAGTTGGTTTCTAGCCGGAACTCTTTGTCTAATTCTGGAAATGCTAATATGGGTGCTGTCGTAAACACCTGCTTAATCTTATCAAAAGCTTCCTATTCCTTGGCGCCCCAGTGCCAAACAATGTCCTTTTTAGTGAGATCGTTCAATGGTCTCGTGATTTTGTTGCGAAGTTTTTGATAAACCTTCGGTAGAAATTGCCTAAGCCAAGGAAGGCCCTAACTCCTTTGACACAAGTAGGTTCTGGCCACTCCAAAATAGCTTGAACTTTCTCAGGATCCATCCTGATTCCGTTCTGGCCTATGATCATACCAAGGAAGTCTACTTCCTTCACTTTAAAATTACATTTTTCGGGTTTGACGAATAGTCCCGTTCCTGTAAGCATCAAAGGACTTCTTGCACGATCCTGTCATGCTCAGCCTCATCGTCCGACTTTGTAAATATTAATAAATTGTCAATGTAAATGACAACACAGTTCTCCATATCCGCAAAGATCTCGTTCATCATGCTCTGAAAGGTCGCCGGTGAATTGGTCAACCCAAAGAACATGACGAGGGGCTCAAAGGATCCTTGGTGGCATGTGAACGCGGCCTTCCAAGCATCTGTCTCTTTGATTTGTACGTTATTGTACCCTCATCTGAGATCCATCTTTGTCAAGATTTTGGTGCCAGCCAATTTGTCTACTAGCTGACTGATCAAAGGCAGCGGATACGCGTTTTTAACCGTGTGCTCATTCACCTAACAATAGTCCATAATCATACACTTCTTACCATCCTTTTTAGGAATAAAGAACACCGGGGACGTCATAGGGCTTTTGGAAGGCCTAATGTAACCCTTCCTAAGCTGTTCATCTATAAAACTTGAGACCTCATCTCTTTCTGGAGCAGAGAGGGGAATCATGTGTCCTTTTCTTGGTTTGAAGGTGTCTTTCAAATCTATAGCATGGTCCCAAGGCTTGGCCTCTGGGAAACACTCTGATTTGTGTTTTGAAAAGACTTTCCAGAAGCCATGGTACTCGGGAGGTACCAGCCTCTTAATTTCTTCTTTGGGTTTCACCTCATCATTGTCATCATCGATCTTTTCTAACGATCTGAGCTCATAAATGTGACCAGTGTTTCTCTTTTCAATACGCTCATTTTGATGAACATGATTTGGTTTACCCAAATTTACACACTCCTGAGGACAACGTGACAATGTGACAACCCCTTTCTGCCAGTCGATCTCAGGATTGTGTTTAAATAGCCAGGTCCAGCCTAAGATTAAATTAATCTTCCCTAGTTGGGTAGCTTCGGCGGTGACTTGTTCTCTGTGTCCTTGGTATTCGACCACAAAAGAACATTTGTGCATGATGCAGCCACCCGCGTTAAGCGTACCGTCAATATTATAGACGGGAATAGATACATCTAATTTTACAAGGTGGAGTCCGATTTGCTCCGCCCAGACCTGATCTATGAAAATTCCGTTAGCGCCTGAATCAAGCAGGGCGCTGGTTGGGTGTACTGTGCCCCGGGCAAGGTTTTCCACACCAACGTCTAAATGGATCTCTTTTTCAAATAAATATGTGCGCATCAACACACGCCTTGGGATTTCGGGAAAGGGTGGCTCCAACGAAGAAGAAAGGGTATCAAAAGTTACATGTTTTTCTATTTTATTTTTACCAGAATCAAGCACCCTAGTGTTTGTCTCGCCGGGGCCACGCTCCAAGGGAGACGCTGGTGCAGCGGTAGTATCATAAATATCACAGTCACATTGCTTCATACAAGTACATACTTCAGATAACAAATTTAAAAATCTATTTACAAATTGGGGAGCCATCCCCGTCTTTCCGTTATTGCTCCTGCAACACCCCAGAGCAGGGGCCACTTTGTTGTGGTTTACTTCATTGTTTCGTGGAGCGAAGGCACCCAAGTGACCTAAGCTCCGAACTCTTTTCCCTGAGCCTTCATTTCATAGACCTGTTGGTCATAGAAGAAGGCCCAGATTTTGTTGTATGAACGACCGGCCAGAGTCTGGAGCCAATCGTCCGGTGTCTCGGACTCTAATTGGCGCGCCTGGCGCCCTTGGTTATTTTTTTGTTGAGCGGCCTGCACTCCGTTTCTGCAGTCACGTGCCATGTGCCCCTCCTGCCCACAGTTGAAGCAGGTGAATCTGCGCTTCTGTCCGCCCTGGACCGCACTAATTTCCATTGGAGCACCCCGACCTGGTTGCAGCCCAAACGGCTGGAACCCGTGAGAGTGTTTATTTTGGTTTGATGACCCAGGGCGCCTCTGGGATTCGTTGTTTTTGGTGGTGGACCCGCCACCTTGGTGCATTTGGTAAAGCTCCATGGCTCTACTGATTCTTCGTACTTCCTCAGCCACCAGGGCCAAGTTCTCGTTCCTTGTATCCTGCAAGTAGATCCGTTCTGCAATGCGAGGGTTCACATTGCGTTCCAGCAGTTCTACTGCGTGTTCATTACCTAAGCCCCCTTGGATAGAGAGGGCCAGGAACCGGGTAACATAATCATCCATCCTCATATTTCCTTGTTTGAAGGAACGGTTCTGCTGATGCGCCCAGTCACGCTCAGCTTACGGTTTGAAATATTTTTCAATCTCTTTCTTGAGATCGTCCCAGGTGGGCCACACTCCCGCAGTGTAGCACTCCTGAAGTCTTACTTGGGTGTATCAACCCGCCACAGGTCCTTTTAGGCGAGATAGCACCGCAGTGGCTACCACAAAATTGTTGGCAAACACGTCCCAGTTTGCCTTGACCCAAATCTGGAGCTTGATCCACCATTCAGCAAATCGCGCTCTGTCTCCTTCGAAGGCGCCGGGGTCAGCGACGACTTCGACTTTCTTGTTGAACTTTTTCTCTACCAAGGGGGTTGCCACAGGAGGGTTATTCGGCAACTCGGCGAGTTGCGAGGTCAATGTAGCAATCTGTGCATGCATAGCATGCAGCAGACTGTTCATATCTTGTTGCGATGACATGTCGACTTGTTCTCTTTGGTAAAGTAAAAAAAAGGTAACTGGGGGTCCCCACTTGCTATCTGCGGATCAACCTCTTCCCAGCTGAGTATCAGATCTCAATCTCCGACTACCCACACTATAGTATTTGAAAATCATATAAAAAGTATATGTATTAAACCCTGGTCCGAACGGTTGTCAGGGGGTGGTCCACTTATTAAGCTGTCAACCATTCTCCAACTGGCGGAGGCAAGTGCCCAGCCTGGTCAGAGGAAAACAAAGAAGAAGTTTTGTATGTAAATTCTAATCAACAGAGGTTCCACACCAACTGCTGAGCTATAGTACTTCCCTTAACGCTGGGGGCCGCGTATCACAGGTTTTGGTTCATCTCCCAGAGCACTACAAGGCCGTTGCCAAGAGCGCACCTATCTGCTATGCGGGATATTCCCAACCAATAACCAAATCTCCTTCACCCTGGAGTCCGGGTGCCCAGTGGGACTTTTTGCGCAGTTGTGCGAGAGAGTAGAAGAGCGAGTCCTAATGTAACAACCAAGAGTTAGTTACTCTGGCGCACACAGGAACACACTATAAAGAAAATGAAGAGGGAGTGGTTACCCCTTAGGCTGCAGAGAGTTTGTTGGTATACAACAGGAGGACTCGCTGAGGAGTCTCCTGGATCTATTGGGGTATATATACTAATACAGAGTGTTTGTACTTATGTACTGTACAGTTGATAAAGTTAGTGGCTGATGATGTCATGGGGCCTAGCCCGCATGACCAGCTCCACTGTGTGAGAAAGTTGTATCTAAAATAAGAAGAAGGCAACGCGGCGTGAGAAAGAGGAGTTTGAACAAAAGGGGAAGTGCCGCGTGGCACCATGTGTGAAAGCTAAAGTGTACAAGGTTAAAGCGGAGAATGAAAAGGAAGGAAAGGTCCGAAAATTGTGTTATCGTAACAGGTCGTGGAATTGCAGGAGATGGAACTATTGAGCTTCCTGCCAACATGCTTATGCCAGAAAACAACATAGACTCATTATTCGACACTATCTATCCTGGAATTGCAAATGGAGACCAAGATGACCACTATTTCCTCCATTGCACCATCCTCTCCACAAAAAATGATGTCGTTAGCAACCTTAATTCAGCAATGCTCACAAAATTCCCTGGAAAAGAGTTAGTAGCTCTGTCAATTGATAAAGTGGTTGGAGAGGGGCATGAAAATTATCCTGTGGAATTCTTGAACTCCTTGCAAGTATCTGGCCTTCCTGAAGCGCACCTCAAACTTGTAGCTGGATGTCCACTTATGCTCCTCCGCAATATTGATCCCCTAAATGGACTTTGTAATAGAACATGCATGATTTTGATAAAGATGAAGAGAAGAGTATTGAAGTGCCATGTCTTGGGAGGAAAACATGCAGGAAAGGTAGCTTTTATTCCACGCCTCACATTAGAACCTTCATTGGCAGAATTGCCCATCAAGCTATCACATTGTCAATTCCCTGTCCATGCTGCCTTTGCCATGACCATCAACAAGTCTCAAGGGTAATCAGTGACATAGATTGGGCTGGATTTACCTGTTCTAGGGTTTTTGCATGGGAAACTTTACATTGCATTGTCTTGCTGCACTTCAGGAGAGAGAATAAAAGTGCTATTTCCATGTGGTTCAAATGACAGACATACCGTCAATGTGGTGTATCCCAAAATTCTGACTCGCTTTATCCTTGACTGGCAAGTAGATTTTTCCCCAATTCTCACCCTTTTTACTAAAGTGTTTTATTCTCAGATCATATTTTCATCCCCTTTTTTTATTTCTCATCAATTTATCAATGTAATACCATAGACTTTTTACATTACAATATATGTTGATATTTGTAAAGATTCAATGAACTATCTGCTTGAATTCAGTATACTGTGTACAAGTTTAGGGCAGGCTTATAAGAATATTCAACGACAGAACTGCAAGTCAAACACGCATCATAGGATTCAAAGACTTAACATACATTACAGACAGCATGAGTTCATTTAACATTTTGATCACTTAACAGTGATATTATTATTATTATTATTTATCATATCACAAAAACATCGCACCAGTGGCAGAGCCATGGGCTGGACCTCGTCTTCTGAAGGGTACAGCTCATCTAATGCCCATAGCAATGCTTTGAGCAGGGCTTCTAGTATTTCGGATGTATTCACATCCCTTAGTAATGGGGAAGGACAAGGCTTTATGCCGGAAAACACTACTCTCCTACACTTGGCGGCCTACAACATAGAGTATGATCTTGGTTTTGGTACAAACATTCTATGGCTAATACATTTATTGCATGTGTAAGGTGATCTTTGTTTTTGCAGGTATCTCTGATAATCCATTACTTCATACAACTACTGCTGTTGATCATTTGCCGTCCCCTACTCCCCTCAATACTCCTGTTGGATCTGTTCCCCCTAGTGTAGTCAACCAGGATTCCCAGGTTCTTCAGACACCCCATGACTTGTGGCTTGTCAATCCCACAGCAAATAACCCTCTGACCAATCCCTGTTTTTGCACGTTAGAATGGTATAAGAATATTCCTCGCAACAAAGCAGACAACTATGAAATTATCCAGGTTATGTTAACTTGTTTGCGTAGTAACAAGATCCTATATATGTTTTCCAATTTAGATGCAGACACAGTTGATGATAAAGCTGTGGATGCTGAACAAAAATTCATCTGTGAACATCCAGACAGTGTAACAACCAAGAGTTTGTTACTCTGGCGCACATCTCAGACAAGCTATAGAGAGGATGATATGGGAGTGGTTACCTTTTAGGCTTCAACAAGTTAGTTGTGAGGATACAACAGGAGGACTCGCTGAGGAGTCTCCTTCATCTATTAGGGTATATATACTACTACAGGGTTGTTTGTACATGTGTACTGTACAGTTGATGGAGGCAGTGGCTGATGATGTCAAGGGGCACAGCCCATGTGACCAGCTCCACTGCGTGAGAAACTTGTATGTCACAGTTGTATCTAAAAATAAGGAAAAAGGCAGTATAGCGCGAGAAAGAGGAGTTTCAGCAAAGGGGAAAGTGCCGCATGGCACAGTGTGTGAAAACTACAGAAAAGGTTAAAGAGGAGAATGAAAATTAAAGATCCAAAAATTGTGTATTGTAATAGGCAGTTGCGGTTTCAGTAAGCTCCATATTTTGATTTTATTAGATTCATGATAATTACTTTTTTTTTTACCTATGTAGCTTTCTATGTTCCTCACCAAGAAGTTTGCATGGATCAGCACTTCTTTGAACTATCCAGGACTAGGATCCAAAACCTTTGTACCAACGATAGGAGACGCATCGCAACAATTGTAGATGGACCCCGTCCCAAAGACAAGGGAAAGGAAAACAAGAGGAAATCTTCACAAATAGGTAAAGGTAGGCAATGAGAAGAGCCATTGGAAGATTGACCAAGTTGACCCTCCTACAATTCACAATACATAGACGGTCACACTCAGTCAGCAGAAGAGACAAAAGCGATACTCACTCAGCTTCATTCTCGACCCGGTGATATTTCATTTGCACATACATTCAACAAATTTATAAGATATAAGTTCCACATCAGGGGTGCTATTACTAATATCACTTAGGGTAATGTTTTAGGCCTGTACAACAACCCTGCTTTTGAGGAGTTCTTGCGCTGTATTCTTCTCTTACCTTTTGAGCGAGTACTCACCTTAACTGACTGGCATGAGCTGGGTATGATCCCTTTGGCAGCCTATGCGCATGCTGTTACATTGGTTAGTTTGTCATGATTCTTATACACTGTCACTCACATAGGTTTCACAGATATCTCATTTGTTCCATCAGCTGTGGTCGGGTACCTGCACAACTTTGCCAAGGCTTACATGGAGGGAATACAAGGGCCCGGTTTTTATTGAAACTTTGAACCACTTACAACAGCAGGCTATGGTAAATCAGGCATTCAATCAACATAGAACAGAGTTACATGGTATTTTCCTTGCACAGACTCGGTGAGTTTCAGCTGTGTGGGACATTTATTGAGCAACTACTTATAATTATTATTATTATTTAGCAACTCTAATTTTTCCCATTCATCACTCTTGTAGCCAATCAGGGTACAATGGTTGCCAATAATGATTTGTTGAGTCATTTTCTCCCCCCTGTGAGTTGTATACTGTTGATTTACATCACTTTTATAGATCTCCAAGAGTCACATACCACAGTGCCAACTGTTTCACCATCCGTGTCTAATGTGGGTTATGCTGGTTTAGATGGTTACCAGTCTTTCATTCATCACAACTTAAGGCCACACAGGAGGAGGTACTCATTTTAGTGGTGTTGATTAATTGTTTCCAACTTGTGTTTTAATCATATCCTTTCTCTCAACCTGTAGTTATTGCTCCTATATCTATGTCAATTTATTTATATGATACACGGTTGTTTTTGCTTCTCTGACCCTGATATAGTAGCAAATCTAGTGTTTAAAATACATTTGCTGCTTGTTTGCCTCAATCAAAACCTGCAGTGAATCCAAATTACCAATATCTCAGCCTTGTTGTCAATGGGTCATTATTGATACCATTGAACTTGAAGTGAAGGTGTGTAACACATGGGATTGAATGAATAGTAAGCACTGGATGTCACTGAGCAAACAATGGACACAACAAGAAAGATCACCCAATGCTGTGTTGGAATAAATCCAGAGAAAGTTTCAAGGTTTTGATTATGCATCTTCCAGTTAATTCATGTTCCTGTTCATTTTGAATGGTATGGGTCCCTCCGCTACAGTAGAAAGGACTATTGGAGAAGTTGGGCATAAAATCCACTCAAAAAAAGCACCCTAATCTAACTTGGCTAATATTATAAATGAGCAAAAAGTAACAAAAGCACTACTCTTCTACTACCCTAAGCTGCAGTTTGAGCCACAACCCAAAAAAATTAATCAACTATTTGCAAAAGTTCAAGTGAAAAAGCAAGAACGTGAACCTCACCAAAACTTTGTCATGCAGATTGAGGCTATTTCCTTTT